AGATTTATTGTTAGAAATACTTTGTTCTTGAGTTTCATCATGTTTTTCTGCTTTCACTTGCTGCAGAGTTTTTTAAATGCAGGAATAGTTTGCACTTCTAGAGTGAAACTGGGACAGGTGTAAAGAAAGGCTGTTCAGACCATCCAGCTTCCCCACAGATATTTTTGATGACAGAAAGCAAAGGGGATTTTGTGTCTCAGCTTCAAAACATGCAAACTGAGGTGTGAGAAGATTTTTGACTGCAAATGCAAGAAACAAGTAAAGAGAAAGGTGTGGGTATATGAGAGGGAACTGAAAAGCCATGAAAAGAATCTATTGCCAAATGGCTGTAAACAAATTTAAGCTGGGAAGAAGTAGTTTGCTATAATAATTAGGAATGGTCCGTCCTTAGGTATTCCAGAATGAGTATAATGGGGACAAAAGATCCTTGCAAACCCTGTTATGGAATAGGTACATTTCTGTTGAAATTTGGGAATAGCACTAGGATGGGAAGGGAGGGGCTTTTGATGCTCTGGTTGTGTGGAATTTGGAGTTAAAAGAATTGAGAGTCTTAGCTGATGTCAGGGTATCCAATTCATTTAAAACTGTCATATTTCCAGTGGCACTTTCTACTTTATTGACTGAAATCTCAGTGAGGGTACTGAAGTGAGAACTGAACTTCAGCCCAAATGTCCATCTCATGCTTTGCCAACTGCCACTGGAATGTGCCAAAAGCTCCTTACCTGGCTGGCTGCAGGGAAATGGCCTTGGCAAAGGAACACACCAGAAATTAATGAGTTTTAATGTCAGTTCCCTGCAAGCCTAATTCTGCCTTTCAAGAAAATCTAGGAAGCTGGTCCAAGGCTCCTCCCTGTGATAAGGCTAATTTGCATCCTCAGAAATGAGGGATGGAAGAGAATGTGTTAGAAATAAAAGTCCCTTAAGTAGTTTGATTGATTTGGTTTTCATATTTAAAGGGAAATTAGGGTCTGTCTTTAAGATCCCAGCATTTCCTTTTGCCATTTTAAAGCAATTTTTAAATGGATTTGCTCGTTTAAACAATGCAGACTGAACATGGATATTGAGAGTATTGGAATTTATCAAGTCTAAACAAGACAATTTTCTGCAGAACTGATTCTACATAGGTTAAGCAAGATGAGCAGACGAGGTAGAGTGAGCCCACTGAAACAACAAAACCCCCCACGGATGTGTTTTAGTGGGAATATTGGGATAATGGGTGACTTAATATTTTTTATTATCGTGTGCCCTGTGGGACACATTTCACTCTGAAATATGGAGAGGACTTTTCTGGCTTGCATTAAAACTCTTCCTGAAGCTAAAGCCCTCCATCTCCCTGAGCAGTCATTCCTCAGGGATGTTCTGTTTTGGGCACTCATGAGTCACAGATGGAAAAGGTGATAACCTTGGTTGCCTAAAGCTCTGTACATTCCTTAATATCCAGTCACTAAGGAGTGAAAAAGTACTTATCCAGGGGGGTGAGATGCATTTCCTCTGGCCAAAAGGTGAACAGTTGATAAAATTCCTCCTCATTGCTTGGATTTAGAGACTCTCACAAAGAAAATGTAATAGTGTTTCATTTACTTGGACTTTGGTTGGTTTGAAGCCATTTCAAATGTGAGTTCAACTTATTTTTAAGCAGCTTTCTTACTCCTTAAATATATGAAAAGATAATCAGGAAAGCTCACTGTAAGTGTGAGTGTTACAAAGAACTTGTCACAGTGAACACAAGCTCAAGATCTCTGTTTATAAAGATATGATCCCCATGTGGCATGATTTTACCCACACCAGCACAGTGAACATTGAACAAATATTGACAAATATTGGATTTACAGGCTTTCCAGTAATTCCTTTCAAAATCATACTAACTGTGCTGATAGTTAAGCTGTGGCAGTAGGATTGTTCTTATGTTCTGTTCTGGCTGAATTTTTTTCAAGTTTGCTAATTTGGGGGGATTAGAAGTCTAACATAGAATTCTAATATAGAATTCTAATCTATATATGGTACAGAATTGTTGCTATATCCCCTGGATCATCTTCCTCAGAGGACTAAGTTTCTTAGAAACAAATTCTTTGCCATCTCTGATAGCAGAGACTATGAACCATTAACTTCTAGCAATGCTACAAGTATCTGTACACGTTAAAAATAGGCTCTAAAATACAAGCCCCTACTATCCTGAAATTTCTTAGTTTATACCCACTCTATTTTGTTTTTATGTTTCCCTTCTGCACCTCCTGTAAAATCCATCTGACAGATGCTAACACAGATCTGAGATTCATTAGAAGGTCATTAATTATCCTAAAGGGATATTTATGGATAGCAGCACTGTGTAATTTGGGCTGTCAAGACAAATTGACCAAATGGCTTCTCTGTAACCACTCAGCAACTGAGGCAGGCTAATGACAAAATTCTGTGCATGGTATCCCTCTAAATCCAACACAAAATCTAGTGCAAGAAAGAGTTTAGTGAAAAGAGTTTAGTCTGGTGATCATCACGCTGAGTCTCAAAAGAAACTCATGGTTTAGATATCGGAGCAATTATAACTCCATGGCATTTTTCATTAATTAATTTATGAATAAAAGTTTCTATATAAATAGCATTTTATATAAATAGTGTTACTGGGTTTTCAGGTGGAGGGTTGAGAGTGGGCAATCCTGAGCTGGGAGCTCTCCCTCAACCTCAGTCGTGTGTTTCATCAGCCTTCCCCTTAAATTATTTTTCCATTCATTTTGCGACTTAAAGGCCAAATGTAAAATCTAACAAAAACACCCTAAACTGATCACCCCCTTGTCCAAATAAAGGTGTCATGATTTCTACTGAAATCATTTCAGGCAGTGTGCTTTTATCAGGAATGGTGTGTCCAGGAGCCCTGGATTCCTCACCCCAGGTCTGAGTGCTGGTGCTTCTGGCTGTTACCCAGGGGATACATGCACTGAACGCCTTGGTGGCTGCTCCTGGCAGCACAAACTGCTTCTCACTCACTGAGTTCTTTCACAGAAAATACATTTTAAGAGTTATTTGCTCGTGAAGTTGCTATCCTTGCTGCTCTTCATTCATGTTCTGCTGATGCTCCACTGCATGATTAGCTTTTGGCCCTGCTGGTTTATCCCTATATTACATCTGGCACTGAGCAAATTACAAGGAGGAATTACATTAATTTAGCCAGGGCTATATTTCAGTGAACCTACTCTTCAAAATATTATTGTATGCAACAAGACTGATCCCAGGGAGTTAATATTTTAAGTGCAAAAGGTCAAGCATGTCTTGTTTATGCTTCAAGGCCATGTCTGACAGTCAGTTTTCCTGCTGTTTGCACCCATCAGTCCGAATAATCTTTATGATCTACTAATTGAAAAAATACCCTTCAGAGTTATGCCGTGGAGGAGAGTATAAAGGTGGCTGTACAGAAATTCTTCAGGCTTTTACATAAGGCAGTAATTCCTCAGTGCCTCTCACCCAGCCCTTTTCTGAAGTTACAATTGTCTGTATAATGCATTAAGAGCAAGCTTAAAAGTCTCTATGTAGCTTTACTCTGAGCCATCTGCTGAGCTCTGCTTTCACTCAAGTGTCCTACAAGTTGTGTTGCTAAGATATAAAAATGACTAAAATTTTAATGGGTTGCCGAAGCTATTTTTTCTAAAACATTTAACTCTGGTAGCAGTGAGAAAACAGCAAAACCATTAACAATAATCTTTACTGTGGACCTGTGATGCAGAGCTGTAGTTGCTGGGCTGAGCACTGTTTCCTTGTGTGTGCACAGTCACATTTGGGGCCCCGTGGGCTCAGTGCTCTCACCTAGAAGGGAGTCTGAAGGAGGTGGTGGCAGGACACCTTTGTGTCTCTCTGTTCCTAGCACTGGTGTCCCAGAACAGTTTCTTAGAACAAGGACGACACAAGATAACCAACTCATTCCAGGCTTGTTACAGAAGTAACTGCAGAATTTACTGGAAAGAGGGTTCATTTATTCCTGGCCTGTGTCACCCAGGTATCTCCTTCCCAACAGAAATCCACAGAGCTGGAAAAATCCTTCTTTGGGCCTGTTTCAAACTGGAAGTGGAAGCAACCCTTGGTATAATCATGGGTGATCTGTCTGCTAAAGAAATCTGTTCTCAGAGTCTCAGTTTGTTCCCAGAAATCTGGCCTGGTGCCCACTCAAACTGTTGCTTGGTGTCAGCTGGCTGCCTTTTATTAGTAAAGACTTGTGGGTGTGGGTCCAAAAACCAGTCTGCATTTTAGAGTGGATTTATATGAATTTCCACAAATATAGATGCCAGGCTCAGAATAATTTTTCACATATGAGCTTTCTGCTAAAATATTTACACCATGTCTAAAAGCCCATTTATTATAATATGACTGGGTAATACATAAAGGGTTGCTTGCAGACCATGCATAGAATAAAAAAGCAGAGACCTATATATTGTGTGTTCATACTGCTGACTTGCTCTGTATCACATATAAAAGCAGTTTAAAAAGGGCTGATTTTACAATGTTTTAACTACAAACAGTCTGCTTAAAAAGAGATTAAAAAAGAAAGAAGGGGGCTGTTCAACCATTGTTTGCTGTTTGTAAGACACAGCACTACAAAAACTTGCTGTTGTTTTTTTCTGTTTCCTCTGATCTGAACACTCTCAAGGTCAGTAATAAATATGACATGAAAGTTCTTGGAAAAAGTATGTATTTTTCCCCTGGAGAAACTTTCACTTGTAAATTCATTTCTTTCAAAGAAAGGTGTTTGCAAGTAATTCTACTTGAGTGTTTCATTCCTGTGTCATCAATATGTTAAATTTTAATGTGGATATCACTAAATGAGAACTGTACATGTCTTTAGCAAAGATATATTCTGCTAAGGAAAAGTTGAACTTATGGTCAAAAAATCCTGAAGTCTCTCTGCATTTGGATTTTGTGTGACCTGAATTTTTGTACTGGGCGTGGGTCTAGCAGTTTTATTTTCTTTAAAAGGCTTTGCAAGGTTATAACACTCAGAATATCAGGAGAGTGCTTACCGTGGAGGTGGGTCAGGGTACATGATGTTGACCTGAGAAAGTATGTCCAGGTAGGAACCAAAGTCACAAGCCTGGGGGAACTCCTCGGTGCAGGAGGATCTCAGCTCTCCAGAAGAGCCACCATGGGAGAAGCCATCTGGAGCTGCAAAACAAGCAATTCATATTTGCTGCTCTTTCCTTCCCTGGTGGATTCCCTGTCACTGTTCATAACACTGCCATGAGCTTGTCACTTTTGTAGAAACGTTTATCTGGGTAAGGGAATGACATCTCTGTTTCAGGAATAAAATTTAAAGTCCAAAAGAAGTGAAATGCAAACTAGTGTTTGCTGAAGGGGTTGCTGAGGTTCCCGGGGGTTGCACACATGGAAATCCTGACCATTCCGTGAGGGTTTTCCAAGCAGGGGTAGGCTTTTGATTGCAGCTATGTGTCTTGAGAAAATGCTGTTCTCAGTAAAAAACATGGACAAAAATGGGAAAAGCTGGAAAACAGTAGAGAAAAATCATCCTGCTACTGCTCCAGGGCTTTCTTGAGGCTTCCACACAAGAGCTTCACAGCTCCAACTAACAACACAGAAACAAGTCTAACACAGAAAAGAGCACTGACTTCTTAGGATTTATGGAGCAGCTCCACACTTGGGTAGTGTGGCACAACTTAGTTTAAGATTATTCTTTTGGATATCTCTGAAAAGATGCTTTCCTTTTTCCATTCCTCTAGCACTGTTATTGCTAACAAGCAGTTTGAAAATTGCCCTGTATATTTTTGCCTGCTTTCAGGGTTTATTGGAACTGAAAATACTAGAGCAGTAGATTTACATGTAGTGATTTAATCTTAGTGGTCATTATTTTATCATGCCAAAATATTGCTGTTCATGGGTGAAAGACTAACCCCAATTTAACCATTTATTCCTGCTGAAAATAAGGAACAATGGATGTTACCAGAATAGTAGGCATTAGTTTTCTGGATTTTGTTGTTTCATTTTTCCCTCTGTAATTGTCTATGGGAGTTTGCATTTCACTTCTTTTGGATTCTAAATTTCATTCTCAAATAGTGAGGTTAATCCCTCACCTGGATAAATGTTTCTGGAAAAGCCAAAAATAGCTATTCCTAGCTCCAAGTGGACAAACTGATCGTAGGAAATGTGTCCATTAGACACAAAAATTCCCGATCCAGACAATTAAATGAAGTCCAATTGATGTACCTCAGAAAACAAGATTTAAGCTAATGTGTTTTTATCTTGCTCTCTATTATTGTCTTTTCTATATAAACACCACAGCAATATGCAAAAAACTGCACTCACAACAAACAGCAGGCAGAGGAGCCTGGCCACAGAGGATGTAATTGTTGATGTTCCACCATTTATAATATGAATTTCTAAAAGGTGGACTTACAGAGTAACTTTGTAACTGGTTTTTTTTTTCCCCTAAAGAGAAATAATCTGATTCTGTCATTTGCTCTGGTCAGCAAACCCAGAAGGAGTCAAAAATATAACTCTACAATTAACTCCTTGATAGTCCCAAAACTTCTTAAAGATTTTTCTTGTTGTTTTTGGGGCTTTTTTTCTTTATTTGGGTAGGTGGGGTTTTTTTTGTTTGTTTTGGGGTTTCTTGGGTGTAGGGAGTAGGATCTGGCACCTTTTTGACTCTGTAATGATGATGACCATTGTATGAGGATGACTATGGTAATGACATTTATATCATCAACTATGATGCTTGCAATGCCATTTTGGTGCCCTGTTTTTCTGTTTATATCCAGTTATTAATTTTTGTGGTCAGAAAAACAACATTTTCCCAGTCATTGATGTAGATTGGTGCACAAATTGAAAACAGTTCTGGCTTTCCAACATAGAAATGACATCACACACTACACTCTGGCTATGAGGGGATGTGAAAATGCAACAAAGAAATCTTATACCGTATCAAGGGGGAATGATCTGTTTAGGACCTGCTGTGGGCACTGGCCTGGGTTATGTTAACCATGAACTGTGGGAACACAGTTCCAGCACCATTAAACTGCAAGGCTGCCTGTGACCTCCATACCCTATTTTTTATGGGTTTTAATTTTATTTTTTATACCTTGCACAGTGGATTTTTGTTGCATTCAAAAAATATTAATGCTGCAGAGAAGAATTTGAGCAGTCTCTGCAAAATGCCATGAGCTATGAAAGCTGGGGAAAAACCCTTTTTAGTAACTTCATCACTGTGGATTCTTCCTGCCTCCTCCAGCACGATGGAAGAGACTCCTTGCGTGATGTTATCACATGCCCTGCCCAAGCCAGAGAGACCATACCCTGAGTTGATCAACTTACGCAGAAGACCCATTGTGTTTTCTCTCTCCTTTTGTGTTACCTGTCCCCCCTATAAAATCTCCCAAGTTAAAGTGGGTTTTTCCCATGAGGTAATTCCTAAGACCCCAAGGATGTGTTAACCCGGGTTTTTCCCTTATCTCATCTTTGTGAAACCCCCCAATTTTAATACCACGAATATGTAGAACCCCCCGTTGAATATGTAAACCCTGAACCCTTTAAATATGAGGTTGTGAATCCAATAAACCATTCCAGTTTTCATAGAATCATAGAATCATAGAATCAGAGAATCAGCCGGGTTGGAAGGGACCTCTGAGATCATCAAGTCCAACCCTTGATCCAACCCCGCCGTGGTTCCCAGCCCATGGCTCTGATGCCACATCCAGTCTGTCCTTAAACACCTCCAGGGATGGAGAATCCACCCCTTCCCTGGGCAGCCCATTCCAAAGGCTGATCACCCTCTCTGCAAAGAAATTCTTCCCAATATCCAACCTAACCCTCCCCTGGCACAGCTGCAGACCCAGCCCTCTTGTCTTGCTGAGAGTTGCCTGGGAAAAGAGACCAACCCCCCCCGGCTCCCCCCTCCTGGCAGGGAGTTGCAGAGAGTGAGGAGGTCTCCCCTGAGCCTCCTCTTCTCCAGGCTGAGCCCCCCCAGCTCCCTCAGCCTCTCCTCCCAGCACTTGTGCTCCAGTCCCTTCCCCAGCCTTGTTGCTCTCCTCTGGACCTGCTCCAGCCCCTCCATGTCCTTCCTGAGCTGAGGGCCCAGAGCTGGACACAGCACTCCAGGGGTGGCCTCACCAGTGCTGAGTCCAGGGGCAGAATCCCTTCCCTGGCCCTGTTGGCCACACTGTTCCTGAGCCAGGCCAGGGTCCATTGGCCCTCTGGGCCACCTGGGCACACTCTGGCTCCTGTTCAGCTTCCTGTCGATCCAAACTCCCCTGGGACCGTCTTATCTTCACTGCCCTCCGCAGGTTTTTGCCCCCAGCCCGGGCTGTCCCCGCGGTCGGTCCCTTTTGTCACTCACCGTCCCCAGCCCCCGGCCCGGGCCGGGGGTGCCGCAGCCGCCCGTCCCTGCGCAGGCTGCCCACCACGATGGTGGCACAGGACAGGGACAGCACCAGCCCGATCACCACCCCCGCCACCAGCAGCGGGGAAACCAGCAGGCTGGAGTCGCTGCCGCCCTCTCCATAGCCGGGGAATTCGCTGCTCGGGCCGCTCCCGTTGGAGGGAAGCGCTGCAGAGAGAGACAGGAGGGGTCAGTCGGGACGAGAGGGATTCACAAAAGCCCTAAAGAGCCTGAGACAGACCCACCGGGTCAATTCATGCTCTCAGGGAAAACCTCTTTATTAAACTGATTTCTGGACTGTCAGTAGCTGACTGCAGGGGTGTCCCTGTTATTAGAGAATATCCTGCTGGAGCCAATGGAGTATGGTCCATAATTTTTATGGCTTCTCCCTGGCAAAATTCTGTGTACCATGAATTGAACGATGCTGAAAGAACCTAAGTGCACATGGAGGAATGTGCAAATCCCAAAATTTGAGCTCCAAGCAGAACAGAGGAATTCCACGTTGTTAAAGGTGGGGAAAACTCCAATATATATATAAATTTATTATTTAAATTCACTAATAAATCTGCTTAAGGGAGAATAGCTCCAGTAATTTATTCCCAAGTCAAATATCCTTTTGAGATAAGCTACAGAGAGAGGATCAGAAGTTAAACTGGAAGTTTTCCTTAGAGAATTGACCAGTGATATGTGCGAATTAATTGCCCACAGATGTATTTATGGGGGATTGCAATGCTAAGGGAGGGGAGGTAAATGGTAGAAATTATGTGAAAAAGGATTCAGGATCTAAGCAGATAAAATATCCCCCCACACCCCTCCCAAATTAAAAGGAAATCTCCCATTTGCTGCTCAGGATCAGACAATCAGACTTATTGATAAATTCCTGGAGGTACCTGTGTACCAAGACTGGGTGTTGAGTATGGCCTGGATATACTTTTGTGTCAGGCTTTATGTCATTTGAACAGATAAAGAATTTGTTTCCTACAGAAACCAAGGCCAACGAAATTTTCTAGAAGCACTTGACCATTGACTGAGGAACTTTATAAGCAATTAAGACACAGCCAAGAAATGTGCTGAGTTTTTACCAAGTATTTTATACCAAAAGAGAAAACCGAGTTCTTTGAAAATTTAACTGATGCTGTAGCATTAAATCAAGAGGTTATGGACAACTGAGCTCCTTAATAGTGTTAGTGCAAAGAGATTTGGGGTAGGGGATATGTTTGAGGGGGAGATTCTGCTGATCTTATGGCCCTTGAGCTAGAACTTAACTTCCTCAAACTTTACAAAATTGTGACCATGCTACTCCTTTATACATTTTTTAGCTCTCTCTCTTGGTAATATGTCCAACAAGTGTGCAATCTTGCTGGCTATCAAAAGCCTTATTTATTCATATTTTTGCAAATTCTGTCTTTGAAATATGCAAATATCACAGCAGTGACAATTTAAATCCCAGTGGTGGGGGGCTGACACCTGAACTGAAAGTACTGGCAGGTAATTCATTGGGAACTTTGGCTGACTTGCAAAGGTGAAATAAAGATGGACTTTGTTGCCAGCCTGCTGAGAAATGAGCCTGGGGTGGGAGGTGGCCCCGTGCACTATCATTTCAATTTGAAGTCAAATAGTGCTGAAATGGAGATGGTCATAAACTTCTGTCAGTGGGAAAGAAAAGAGGCTTCAGTGAGAAAAACATAGAGGCTGAAGTGAGTGCTCTCAGATCTTTTAAAGCTTGGGACAGATACTAAATGATCCTCTAAATAGGAAGAGGGGCTGTCTAAGGAAAAGAAGAGTAGACTAGATGGTTTTTTTTCAGTTGTGTATGGAAGCCAGCTGGTATCTTAACACATTGACCCTTTGGGACATTCCTGTGGTGCCACCCAGTGTGAGCACTGATATTTGGACCTATTTTGCTTTATAGCAAGCTCTGTAATGCACAGTGACTTCAGATAGGAAGTCCTCTGCCGTGTGCTCTGCACTAGTGCTCGAGGTGCTGTACTTCATTTCAAGACACACCATTTATCTACCACATTCTCAGGGCTTCCTCAGCTGTCCAAAAATCTTGTCTATTTTATCTCTTGCTTCTCACCACCATGACTCTTTCTGGGTTTTTTTTGCTTTTAATCTAATGGAACCCAGTCTCTTGCAAAGAGAAGATGTATTGCAATGTTGCTTTATTAGAAGGAATAAGTCCCCCTAGCCCAGCTGCTGACAAAATATGGACTTGATGAACATCTCCTAAGGCACTATTTTCAATGTGAGGCTGTGAGTCCAGTTCTCCAGACTTTACACACTGACTTACTACTATGTGCCAAACAACTACAGAATGAGAGGCTGAGTTGAGATAAACTCTTTGGGTTTGAATTTTTGGGGGGCAAAAGATGTTTATGTTACTTTTGGCAAAAGAATATGTAATAAATTTTTCTCCGCTTATCCAAATACATCTTCTTATGATAAACTCTGCATCCTGTATGTAAAAATGCTCTGAGGTTTCTTTCAGAATAGAAGTGCATTCTGAAAATGTATGTGAAGCCCATAAATACAACACCTATAACTGAGTGGTGACTTTTTTCGGTTTGGGAAAAGTTGTATTTCTTTCCAAGAAACTGCAAATTGTAAACAATACATGCATAAATACTTTATATCTAATCCTCTAAATATTAATTATATGGGATGCACAAACTATTGCTTTTATCCAGTGATGGGAGCTGTGTAACTACCTGGACATGGGCACAAATGGAACATGGCTGAGAGAACACTTAATTTAGAGTGAAGACTAGTGGAAAATTGCCTACAAACTATCCACACAGTGTCAGACAATAAATTATCAATCTGCAGAATCCCTTAAATGGCACATTATATTATTTTATTCAGTGCTGCTGCATCTCAACAGAGCAGTTGTAAATGACTCCACTTAACTGAAAGAGGTGTAGCACAACTTGACTTTTTTTTGTATGTTGTACTTTCTTGTTCCCATTAACCTGTCTTTAAAGGGAGACTTGTGATCCCTTTCTAACTCAGCCCCAAGTGATGTGGAAGTGTCAGTTGGTCACATCCTGGCAGAGTGAAATATCTTGGTATGTAGATGTGTCCTGGGAGCTCAGTTCACCCAAGATACAGCCATTCTTCCTCAGTGGCTTTTACCTCTTATGTCCCAGAAGAGAAAGAAAGGAAAATCTCTTTTCTCCATTATGAAATAGTTGAGTTTGGGATTGGTGGTGTGTTGTTTTGTTTCTTTTTTTTTCCCCCAAAGGCACAGCAGAGGCTGCCGTGGTCTCTGTGATGGATTTTCTTTGTACCCTTTAAATACCAGAGATAATTTTAAGGCTGGATCCTGCTAAGATAACCAGATATCTTCCCCTGGTTTACAATCTGTCATGGTCTGGAGCTGTGTCAGGGCAGGCTCAGGTTGGATCTCAGGCAAAGGTTCTTCCCCCAGAGGCTGGTTGGGCACTGCCCAGGCTCCCCAGAGCAGTGGGCACAGCCCCAAGGCTGCCAGAGCTCCAGGAGGGTTTGGATGATCCTCTGGGGCACAGGGGGTGACTCCTGGGGATGGGCCTGTGCAAGGTTTAATGTTGAACTCAATGATCCTGTGAGTCCTTTCCAACTCAGCACATTCTGGGATTCTGTGATATTAATAAGGATGATAATTCATGTTAGGACTGGTGGAGAAGATGAGACATGGAGGGGTTGTGTTTACCAGACTGAAATGTGCAGGAACAGCTCCTGAAGAAGGGCTGGTGAGTTGTACTGGAAGGATTTTTTGTGCAGAATCATCCACCTCTTCACCCCATCATCCTCAGACACTCCTTGCCTGAGGACAGGGTGGCCTTGGTGATGATGTGCTGAGCTGGAGCTGAAGCACATGGACAGAAGGTGGTGTCACATGGACACCCTGGGTTAGTACAGGCTGTTTGGGGATGGTGATCTAACACTCCTATTACCTTGAAATACACTGTATTAACAAAGTGAACAGGACTGGAAATGAGTAGGGGGAAGGTCAGTTTAGGATAATGCACAGTACCCCCTGATTTTTAAATAATCACAACAAAGCATCTCAAAGCCTGAAGCAATTTAAAGCACGTTCCTGATATTTTTATTATTTAAATCCCTGGTTGGACAGTGTTGGAATGTGCAGTCTCTTCCTCAAGGGAGCTGAGTGATAGATGTCAGGAAGGAGCTGACAGTTCCCAGTGAGGCCCACAGATACACTAAATTAGTGGAATTACCCATGATTTTGTTGATTGTGCCTTTATGAACAGTTCTTGTTCAAAGATGATTTAGTCTGGCCAAGAGTGCCCGGTTGGATGCTGCACTTGCTGCTGCCCTGGGGCACAAGACTGGCACTGCTGCTGCTCTGCTCCTTGCTGTAGCTGCCAGACAGGAGCTCTCAAAAGGAGTAAGGGAGGGGTAGGACAAAAACAAGGTGAAAAAGGGTTTGGATCACAGGTGCTGGCTTTGTCCAGAGCATCCCCACAGCAAGGGAGAGAGGGACGTTACTCAAGTCATTGAATGCAAAGGCCCCATAGGAGATAAATCTTTCATTAAAAAAAAGCCTCTGTTGGATTCAAAGCTGTTCCATTGGATCCTGAGAAGGGTTTAAACCTCACTTAGGCTTAAATTCCAGGGTGTGATCTGCTTATGGGAGCCAAAAGAAGTGATCATCATGACAAGAACAGGGAAGGCTATTTTGTATATGGTATTTATCTTATTCACTTGTAGCAAAGTTGGGAAAATGAGTGGATGACTGGAATAGTCTGGGAAATGTCCTGTCTGTAAATCAGTTTTACAGACATACAAATACTATGGGGAAAGGAATTTTCAACCCAGGAGGCCCAGGAGCCTGTTTAATTCTCTCACACTGCTCTCACACACAGTTCTCCTGTAGGCTTTTCTGATTTCCACACAGAAAATTAAACTGCCTCTTCAGCTACAGTTGATATTCAATAATAACTGTGTAGGGATTGCTTCAAACTTTTATCTCAGTGAGGCTTGTCTCTTGGAAAGGTACTTAGTAGTTATTTGACAAAGTTGATTAATAAATAGATTTTTGCTGTCAGTTGCTGTATCAGTGACATTTTAAGAGTTGCCCAAAACAGATGATATTAATTATTATCTCTAAATTTGCAGTAAAACTCTTCCTATATAAATGTTTAACTAGTCTTGCCTGATTATTG